AAAGCTTGTCCCAAGCCCTTTTATTCATGGAAATGCCCGGGTGGGAAAGTGCACCGGAAGCTCACAACACCATACCAAATTTTTCATTTTTCAGCACAGGGGTGGTGGCAGGAATCGCTATCCTCCCGTTTCCCTACGGCAAAGTTCTTGACCACAGGTGGTTAGTTTGAAAGCTATTATCCATATCTTCAACTCATATGAATACCTGGGTGGGAAAGTGCACCTGAAGACTTCACTGGCCACCCAAAGTCTGAGCTACCTATCAATTATGGGTATGGGCACATTTTTCAGTCTTTGTGTACAGTTCCCTATGGCAAAGTTTTTACCCACACCTAGTGGAATTGAAAGCTTGTCCCAGGCCCTTTTATTCATGGAAATGCCCGGGTGGGAAAGTGCACCGGAAGCTCACAACAACATACCAAATTTTTCATTTTTCAGCACAGGGGTGGTTGCAGGAATCGCTATCCTCCCGTTTCCCTACGGCAAAGTTCTTGACCACAGGTGGTTAGTTTGAAAGCTATTATCCATATCTTCAACTCATATGAATACCTGGGTGGGAAAGTGCACCTGAAGACTTCACTGGCCACCCAAAGTCTGAGTTACCTATCAATTATGGGTATGGGCACATTTTTCAGTCTTTGTGAACAGTTCCCTACGGCAAAGTTTTTACCCACACCTAGTGGGATTGAAAGCTTGTCCCAGGCCCTTTTATTCATGGAAATGCCCGGGTGGGAAAGTGCACCGGAAGCTCACAACAACATACCAAATTTTTCATTTTTCAGCACAGGGGTGGTGGCAGGAATCGCTATCCTCCCGTTTCCCTACGGCAAAGTTCTTGACCACAGGTGGTTAGTTTGAAAGCTATTATCCATATCTTCAACTCATATGAATACCTGGATGGGAAAGTGCACCTGAAGACTTCACTGGCCACCCAAAGTCTGAGCTACCTATCAATTATGGGTATGGGCACATTTTTCAGTCTTTGTGTACTGTTCCCTACGGCAAAGTTTTTACCCACACCTAGTGGGATTGAAAGCTTGTCCCAGGCCCGTTTATTCATGGAAATGCCCGGGTGGGAAAGTGCACCGGAAGCTCACAACAACATACCAAATTTCATTTTTCAGCACAGGGGTGGTGGCAGGAATCGCTATCCTCCCGTTTCCCTACGGCAAAGTTCTTGACCACAGGTGGTTAGTTTGAAAGCTATTATCCATATCTTCAACTCATATGAATACCTGGTTGGGAAAGTGCACCTGAAGACTTCACTGGCCACCCAAAGTCTGAGCTACCTATCAATTATGGGTATGGGCACATTTTTCAGTCTTTGTGTACAGTTCCCTACGGCAAAGTTTTTACCCACACCTAGTGGGATTGAATGCTTGTCCCAGGCCCTTTTATTCATGGAAATGCCCGGGTGGGAAAGTGCACCCCCGTCCGGCCCTTTTACCCAGTATGGTAAAAATAATAACCATTGTCCTAACTTCAAATTATATGACAGTAATTCAATGGCAAAATATACATTATCATTACTTCTCCTGGAAAAAAATCAGCATAACAGTACCTATATGTGTTGACTGGTTCCCGGAAATTTTGAAGTACAAAAACAGGTACTGAGCAAAATCCTGAGCAACAGGGCAAATATTCCCTGCTTTATAATTTCTTTTTTTGATCATTCAAAAGAGACTTTCAACAAGGGTCCTATAGTGATTCCAAGTGATTAAACTTTCATTTATACCAAAATAAACCAAATATTTCACTTGTTTGACAAAGTTTTGGATATATGCGTAGGAACTATTTTGTTTGAAATATGTACTATGTTCTTTTTGACCGGGCCGATATAGTAATTCTTTACCTAAAGGGATTTTAAGGAAATACACGATATTTGAGGATGCCGAGAGTATAGAAAGCCGTTATATGATTTTTCTACCGCAGATAGCGTCTTTCTTGTTCAGTTTAACTTTTTATTTTTCTCACCGTAAATTGACATCTGCACTAATGTACTAAGATTGTTTTATTCTGTTCTACAATACTTAATACACCTCTGAATCTTGAGACTTGGTTTAGCCGTTATGTACTAAGATTGCCTTTTATTAATTCATCTATACTATATGTAGTTATTGTTACACGTTAAAAATCTTAGTTTAAAGTATCGCAAACAAATAACATTCCAGATACTTTTGGTTTTTTTAACTTGTTTTTTTTTTTTTTATTGTTTTTTTTTTTTCATTCATTTTTTGCAAGGAACGAAGATCTCGATTTTATATCAATGTATAATGCCATGTAATATAAAATCTTCAAATACTGAATTACTGATTTAGAGCATAAGCCTTGAGCAAGCACGCTACTCACGTTAACTGTTAGAAAGATTGAAATCCGAAGTAAAACTTAAACAAAATTAATTACTTTTTCCTTTCTAAAAAGGATATGCATTTATTATTCCGTCCCCTATTTATTCAAATGTAGACATACGTGGTCCATTAAACATTTAAAAGCGATATATTACGTATTTCGTATTAGTAGAACGTTGTAGCATAATGTCAATTTGTGATTTTCAGACATATCTATGAATGATTCTCTAACGTGTTGATGCACATTGTTAAGTTTAGTGGTAGTCTCGATTACCCAGACGCATATATAAATATAGCGTCTGGGTTGATTAACCGGACTGGTCAGATATTTATAGGGGGCGTAACAAACAATTAAATATAGAACATCATCCATAAATAGTACTTCCGTTATCCCCAAAATAATAATGAAAAAAAAAACAGTAAGCAGTGTACTAGAATATCTATATGTGATTATTAAACTGACATACTATTCTTGTAGCTCACGCAGTGATGCCCAACTTGAAAGTGATATGCATTTTTAATAGAGACATGATGTCAAATAAATAAAACGGCTTCAAATACCATTTCACACGTATTCTTGTCTCAGTGGTTTATAAACATTTATTTAAGATCTATACTCGGTCAAAATTAAGCTTTACACCGTACTTATTCAGATTTTGGATATTTTATTCGTTGATTAAAAATATTTATAAGTTTTAATCATTTTTTTGCCATGATTTTTATCTAAAAGACTTTATCATTAACTACTTGTCTAGCTTAAATTTCTACAAAAACGATTATAAACTGTAACTAACGGTGACCTTTTTGACCTGAATTTTGTACATGTACATTTCTAAAAAAAGAAAAAACTGAATTGGTAAATGCTCATACATGATCAGTCCAAGTTTTCCAATATAGAACGTGAATGTCTGTTCTAAATGTTATAGCACTCGTGTATAGAGGGTACCACGCTCTCTGTGCGTTAAGAGAGGGGTTCGTAGGTGGACCGTTGTACTAAAGGCTAAATTTCTGCCCCTTTGTAGGTTGCAGTCATAATTTCTCCGACCTGTATCCCGGACGGCCTCTATTACAGGACCTTAGTTTCCTCGTTTGAATTGTTTTACATTTGTGATTTCGGGGCCTTTTATAGCGGACTATACGGTATGGGCTTTGCTCATTGTTGAAGGCCGTACGGTGACCTATAGCTGTTAATTTCTGTGTCATTTGGTCTCTTGTGGAGAGTTGTCTCATTTGCAATCATACCACATCTTCTTTTTTATACTTATTATATTTATTGTTAATTTTCTCTTCGTCCTGAACATGTATGCAATATATTTACCACTAGACGATAACCAAGCAACCAGCAATCAATCTATTCTTATATTCTAGCACACCAAGGTATTCTTTTATCTTCATTCTATAAAACACCATCATTCTCTATTGTTCATATTATAGCACACCACTTTTCTCTATTTTTTATATTGTAGCACACCATTAGTCGCTATTCTTTTTTTTTGTCCATTTTTCTTAAGTTTTTTTTCATTATTCTCATTTCTGAAACTCCTGTTATAATTTATGCTGTCCTTGTTATATATTCTTTCAGATATCTAATACACCTGAGACTACTATATTATATATATGTGTGCTATAGTCAGGATACACTTACCTTACAAAAACACACATCAAGTTACTTCTATGTAAAGAAAACTTATACAAATACTAAGAATGAAATGTAAAAAAAAATCCTCAACAGCTATTACTTGCAGATCAGTGAGATCACACAATGAGCCAACTCAATTTTCATTTACAAAATAAACTGCAAACGACAGAATAGTATCGCCTAATCCTTTTGGGAAGAGCAAATTTATGAACCAACCTTCACACAATTTCACTGTGCCAGTGTTAACCCGTGTCCATAGAGGAAATACAGAACTTAACCAGTCATTCATGAAACCAAATACTCTTTGAATGCATGTTTGTATCATACACATGGAGAAGATGGAATAGGATTTATCCCATACTGCATGGTAACTTGTAAAAAAACCAACAACTCAAAAGTGTATTCTACTTCTCTAGAGCAATATCCTTATGATTGTTAATTAACTGATTTATTGTTTCAGATCTCCATCATTTCTACTATAATTTTAATATCCATCATGTATTAGTATGCAAGAAAGGACAGCTTTACAAGAACAATATCTTCTCTTGTAAACCTTTATATAAAAATAAGGAGATATGGTATGATTGTTAAAGAGGCAACAACGCATCAGAGTTAAAATGACGTGGATATAAGCAAATATAGTCACTGCACGGCCTTCAATATTGATAAACTCCATACCGTATAGTCAACTATAAAAGGGCGTGACATAAAAAATGTGATACAATTCAAACGAGAAAACTAACTGTTTAATTGTTTATAAGACTTTTTATTTGTTAATACAAATCTTAATGCTTTGACATGTCTGACAACAATGTTGTTCTTGATTTTTGTTTTATAGACTTAATATACGTCTGTGTACCTTTTTTGGCTTTGTGGTTGCTGTCAAAATAATGTTTACCCAACATTCTTGGTACTGTGATTTATTCATACTGATTTATACTTCAGTATTTAAAAAAAAAATCTTTGAATCTTATTCTTATAAAATTGAAGCTGTTTAAGCATGATACAATGAATATCCTGAACATTATATTTTTTTAATTCTTGACATTTATCACATAAAATCTGTGTCCAGAAATCATCATTAGTTTCTCTACAAAAGAAAATAAATATCAAAATCATATCAATTTTGTATACCAACATAGCATATATATGAGAAAAAAAAATTGTTTGAGAAAAAAACATCATACAAATATATTGTATAAATTAGTGTCCAGGGACAAACTGAATCCCGCCTCCGGAAGGATGATTTTCTCACTGCATTGAAGACCCATTGGAGGCATTGGGCTGTTTCCTGCTCTTTGGTCGGGTACGTGTTTCTTTGACACAGTCCCTGTTTCTATTCTCTATCCAAACCATGCATGCGTTTTTCTCATTGTGGAAGGCCATACAGTTGCCTATAATTGCTCACATCCACTTCATTTCAACTTGGGTGGATAGTTGTCTCATTGGCATTCATACCGCATCTCCTTATTTTGCATAACAACGTGTCTCATTTCTAATCTGTATTGTTTAAGCAAAGTGCATATGTTTTTTTTAAAATCGAGTCTAGAACATTTTGTCTGTTTGGTGTATATACAAAATGGCATCTTCTAGATACACTTTGTCTGTGTTTCTTCTACTTATGGTTTTGGATTGCGTTCCCTCCTTTGAATATGTACATCATTGTGAATCTCTCCTCTCCCCCCCTTTTTTTTTTACATATATCAAGATGCAAACTCCCTTATACAGATAGATACAATCTAATCTTGGATGAAGGTCATATTTCGGCGTCATAGCCCCTTTTCATCAAATATTTATAAAATTAAAGATACTACATATCAACCCCAAATTGTATTTATAGAATGTACGACTATTCGAGTGGTCCCAGTCAATACAAAATTTGTCATTTGATTGTATAACTGTAATTACTCGTTTGCATAGCACGGGCATGCATTCATGAAAAAATATAACTACTCAATGTATCAGGTTGCATTGAAATTTATGTTACAGTTTGTATTGTTATAACATCTTACCAAGCCCAAGGTTTGCTGTGCTGTTATTTTCCTTCGCGGCCAAGCCATGCAGTCTGGTGTTTTCCATGATTTGTATAACGTCACAAACAAATAAAAATAGCTTTAAACGACGTCATTCAACTTATCCAAACAACAATCGAAACACTCGGACTTTTCAATAATATTATCGTAATATAATTTCTTCCGAAGTCAATAACCAACTTCTTGGTTATTCGTCTTGGATATTATCCATTTAGACAAGCTAAAAAAGCCGATACTATTCCAATTGTCATAAATTACCATTTCTATATCACTTGTCATCCAGACGCTATACTTTAGAAAATAAAGCGGCTGGATGATCGAGACTAGTTTAGTGGTCGATAGAATTGGTCGCTAGCTTGATTGGTCGCTGGAATTGGTCGCTAGCTTGAGTCTGGTTAAAAATAACTAATAAATAAACAGAAATCTACATTTTCTCTGTCTGTTGATGGTCCGTCACCGTACCGGGTATTAAATAGCATCGAGTCCAAACATTTTTTGCCGGGGTAGTTTAGACACAGTAACCAATGGATCTTTAGCACAGCAAGAAAATCCCGCACCAGGAGGAGGGCTTCAGCTGGACCCTAAACAAAAATGTGTACTAGTTCAGTGAAAATGGACGTCACACTAAACTCCGAAACATATAAACGAACTAAAATTAAAAAAATCATACAAGACTACAAGACTAACAAAGGCCAGAGGCTCCTGACTTGGGACAGGCGCAAAAATGCGGCGGGATAAAACATGTTTTGTGAGATCTCAACCCTCCCCCTATACCTCTAGTCAATGTAAATTAAAAACAAACACACAGCAATACGCACAGTAAAGCTCAGTTTAAAAGAAGTCCGAGTCCGATGTCAGAATGGGAAACAGAAGAAACTAAGGAAAATGACAATGATACATAAATTAACATTCTTTATGGGCACGAAAAATCACTGTAAAACAACCAATGTCTTCTAACCTGGGAGGGGTTATTCGTTATATTTGTTAGAATATCAGCGTAAGGAGGATATCTGACAAATTCTCTCATGATACCATAATTCGATGATTTCCGGAACTCCAGAAATACATTACAAAAAAATGGTTATGATTGTATTGTCACTTTAACAATTTATCAGAAGACTATTATACTAATACTATACTATTTGTTGTGTTTACAATATTTACTATCGTTTACACGTTCATTCATTCATTAATTGACGGAGAGTCAGTCTATTCTATTTTGCACGAATAAATCATGCATGCAACCCCGCCACATTATCTGGTACGCTGTGTACACGTAATATTAAAGCACATTTAGTTTTGTATGCCTTCTACTGCATGTTTTTCTTATCAAATTCCAAGGAGACAACATGGGTATAGGAATATGGCTTCTCTAGTCTGATAGATAAACCATTGCGTAGACTGGCTGTCCATACAGCTGGATGGAGAAATACGTAGCCTCGTCTTTTAAAAATGAGGAATTCTGCCAATATTTAGCATACATTGTACCGTCATTAACCGAGATTTACATTATGTTTAGTATCGAGTTGCGAGTAAGATAGTCGAGTTGCGAGTTGCGAGTTGCGAGTTGCAAGAATCGAATTGCGAGTTCCAAGAGTCGAGTTGCGAGTTAAAATAAAGTAGAGTTTCGAGTTATAAAAATCGAGTTGTGCTTTATAAAAATCGAGTTGCAAGTTATAACAGTCAAATTACGAGTAAAAAAAAGTCGAGTTTCGAGTTATAAAAGTCGAGTTGCGAGTTATAAAAGCCGAGTTGCAAGTTACAAAAGTCGAGTTGTGAGTTTAATACAAAAGTAAGGTTGCGAATCTGAGGATCTTCTCTCAGAATAACGAAATATGCTTATATCAATGTGAAGGATTGCCTCTTTATTTCTAATGTGTGTAACGTAATTACGTAATGGTTTGAAAATACAAAGATGAATTATATACTTTTATTAAAGAACTACATGAAAATAATACGAAGCTGGAGTTGGTTTCACAAAAAAAAACTTACGACTAAGATTGATCGTAAGTATACTGAATTATTCATGACTTACGATCAATCTTAGTCGTAAGTTTTTTTGTGAAACTGACTCCAGTAATGTCTACGTGCATACGAGTGCGAGCACAAGAATTTTCTCACTAAATCTAAAAATGCATAAAAATAAATAGTCACTTAGAATTGTCTGATGAGCGTGTGGTCCATAAAAGGTTTATACTAGATGTTCTGTAATACAGGCACATGGTCAGGTACTGATGATCTATAACATAATTTTATTGAAGTCAATTAATGATCTGGATACTAAGGTATACATCTTTCTGTCTTCTTAGTATTAGTAAAGGATAATTAGTTTGTTTATCATCAAGACTAGGTAAATGGTCAGGATGGTTCGTCTGATAACGGGGTTATAACATTTATATATTATTAAGCAACATAGATATATATTTAACTATGCTACAAGTAGCAAATGTGCTTACAAAATTAAAAAAAATGAAGTTCGAGAACACCTATCGAAGTGATCTAATTAAATCTTTGTATTTGATTTATCCATTAAAGATCATGTCCAAATGACTAAACATTGCACATTTGTAAGTATGGTGATATTTTACTGTCTCTACATTATATCAGCCTTATTAACTCAAAGAACAGAATTTAGAATTAAATCTGACAGCAAGTTTGATTTCAGTCCTGTCACAGTGATTTACTGCTCAGCCTGCAGATAGTTGAAATCTGCTTATGTTTGCTTCCTGTCACGTTATCCAATCTGGTATCACCGTGCATAGTTATTTAAGCGGACGACTCATATGTAGAGGCGATTGCCACATGGGACCCCGCTTGGATATATTCTCAGCCAACCAAATTTTTCAAAGTTTACAATTTGTGATCTGGCTTCGCTTAATATATTTTATATTTTTTGCTTGATGTAGACGCTATGTTTACAGTTAAATGCTTATGCTTCATTTTATTTAGTTTTAATCATCACACATATCTTCAATATTAGATTTCTCACTATATTTAAAGTGGCTCATACTCTTATTAGTGGTCATTAATGAATTTCTTAGTTATCAAATATCAAATTTTATCACAATATCTACCTATACTCTAAATTTTCTGAGTGCTTATTCCAATTTTTTTTAGTAGATACACGTTTATCATACTTCAAATTTGCTTAAACAGGTTAAACCAAGTCTTTTACATATGAATGTCAACTTTTTAGTATGTAATGCATGTTATTATTATTTTCCTTATGTTATTTATATGTTTTATATCCGGTCAAAGGTTCTCTACAGCTTGTGTTGTATAGTTTTATAAATGCCGAATCGAAATAACATTTTCTTTTTCTTATCTTATCTTATGTTAGGCTACAAAGGGGACCAGAATGCCAACACCATTTATGCCATCGAATCAACATGAAAGGGTTTTTTTTTTATACAAAGTCCTCCTATCCTCATTTCTGAATATTTAAAATTTTCGGTCTGTTTGTTACAGAAGCGAGAAAAAAAAAACAGTATTAAAAATTGATTCTGGTATAATGCAGCTATGTTTTTCAGTAGATCACAAAAAATAGATACATTTATATGAATAATCTTTCATACTTTATTTATGCCAAGTTTGGTAAAGATCAGTCTGGTAGATTTCAGAGGAAACGTATGTGCATGTAAATGTAGGTCTAACACATTGTAGAAAGTGACCTCCATCTAATAGTATCTTCTATATTTTGCACTCTTATAACGGAAAGGCACCAGTATGCCATATTCTTCTATTTTCTCTAGGGTTCAAAATGTTTTGTTTGATCTTCACTCTTCTATGTTCCCAGAGAGAAACAGACAAGGCTTACGTTATCATACATGTATCTACAGTTACTTCTAATTATGCACTATTTCAAATTATAAAATAACGTCCATTATAGTATATTATTATCTGAAAAGTCTAACACAACCCATACAGAAACGAATATAACAACTGGGCATCTGTTATATTCCTGACTTTTAGTACAGACATTTTCCTGAAAAAAATGTGTAATTGTACCTCTGAGACGAGTCAATTTCTGTATATTTTAAAAGTGGTATACAAGGGATTTGCTGCTTTAACTGGTATCCTACATTTTTGCATCATGAAATATAAGGTATAGAAGATGAGACTAGTGGATAGCCTGTGTATTTTTCATGTATTTTCTTTTATCCAATGTATATCGTTATTTCTTTTACCGCCGCCGGGGTATATGCACATGGATTTGACAGGACGTATATGCATTTTTTACCCTTTACGGAGACGCTTGATCATTTGTGCATTTAATTAAAGATATTTCTGCTAAAGTTTTGATACCGAAAGAATAATGAAATGACAAAGAATGTATAACTTAACAATTTCTATTGATATTTAGTGTACTTAAGCAGATCATTTTTCATGTTCATGGGGGTATTTGCGAAAAATACCAGTCTTGAGGTGAAATTTCCTTCTCTCGACTAGTATTTTTCGCAAATGCTACTCCTGAACATTGTATATTTGTTCATTAAACTTGATTCCAGAACTATTTGCTACATAATTATTTTTTTTCTTATGAACAAATGTGCTTTCTTAATTTTCAAAAAATAACAATTCAACGTTGTGTAACTGCATCATAGCACACTTGCGTATTTCCGCAATTTCAAGAATCCGTCTTGGTTTAAAGCAAGGTAAAACGACGCCTTGATAATATAATTAACAAACAAATATAATTATTCATATCAGATTTATCCCATGTTTATGAATCAGAAATCTGCATTGCAGTGGACGGCGGATGATGTCGCGTATCATTTTAAAGAAAGTATAACGTCTCTGCTTAAGGTTTATGACCCCATCTGTAGGCCTGTGTATTTACGAAATTTTCAAAGTACAATAATATCAAAACAGCAGAAATACTGAATAAAAGAGACGTGCCATTTTTTTTACATGTACCACAGGGAAACGTCGTTCACAACAATGGTGTGTATTGTTTCATTGAATTTTGGATTTTGTGGCAACTCAACCCAAGATTTTGATAGAAAATCAAGTTTTTTTTACAGAGATTTTCGTTATAACATTTGAAACATAGACTACGCACTTGTTTGTCCATGATGGATAGCGTTTATTGTTTACAAAAAGTTCTAAACAACCTTTACAATTCAAAAAACCTCGTGCGGAATCACTAAAGTCGAGCACACCCTAGAAGGTGTACTTAAATTGGTCCATATTTATACTTGTTTTAACTAATATCTTTATTTTAAAAACGTGCTTTAGAGAAATCATTGCTAGCACTGCATGTAGTAACCCCCTATTTAGTAAGTAAAAAATTGTCAAACATAA